TTATTAAATAAACTGAATAATACTTCATAACAGGGAAGGATGACGACAGATCGTGATGGTGGTGAAAATTCTCCAAGAGTAATAAATGTCAGCAGAAGAAGAAAAAGATTTAATAAACTATCTGCGTCATCTGCGGCTATTGAACATTATGTATAATCACATATATTGTATAATGATGTATTTGTATATCCAAGAATTTTCCATAATTCTTTAAGCAATGATAATTCACAACAAAAGTGTTATTTATCGTAATAATATTATTGTGCACTAATATAATGACAAACAAAACTCTTAGGTTTGCTTAAAAATTGTGAGATTATTCATAACATCCCATTAATATCATCAATTTACATATTTTGAGAAGTAGGTAATTTGTCCGTGGATACAAACATACCTATATGACTTTATATTAGCATCGAAATTTTTAGGTAGGTACCTATTTTCTAATCCTTATTTATCCGTCAAAAACGTTTATTTTTAAAACGAGTATAATCACCAAAACTTTAACTTAGAAAGTTGAATGATGAAGCATAAACGTTTAACCTAAAAGATAGACTATCCAAATTTGTAGAAAAAAAAACTCTACTCACCAATTTTATTTAGTGATTATACAATGTTAAAAATAATGTGATGAGTTTTGATTATAATTTAATTGTTATTTCTACAAGGAGTTCAGCTGACACTATATAATTGAAACTATCAGCGTGTAGTATAAATTTTAACAGTGCACGGCGCATATAGTTCGATGGTATTTAACCATCAGTCTTTTAAGCAAAGTATATTTTGATATTTTTAAATGAGATTTTCAACCTCCATTTTAGTATTACTATGATAGTATGAACACATGATTGTTAATCGACTGACTATTTTCAAAAGCAGTAAATAAGTTAAAAAGAAATAATGCTTCCTACGTAGGATAATAAAACAGATGTGTACTTTTATATTTATATTGTTTTGTCGTTTGTCCTTTATTTTATAATTTAATGAATACAATTTCATTACAATAAATTATCTTAATCGATACGGAAATACACTGTATACGTTTAACTAATATTATTGTATTCATGAATCGAAATGAACCGATTTAACTGATATTTATGATATGATAATGATTTTATACATTCCACAAATATATATGATTTCTATTTTTACAGGTATTTACAAATTTGTTTCGTAGATTATATCTATATACGAATATTAGTTACAGTTTATTACCAATAAATTGTAAATTAACTTTTAAACATGAGTAAATACATTTGAGCAAATTTAATGATATTTCAATTCAACTCATGAGGTAGTAAATTTGTTAAACATGTTAATCAAATACTTCGAGAGCATCATGGTGAAGTATTTGAAAAAATTCCTGAATAATAAAATTGTTGTCATTGACTATTGTTATTAAATATAGTATTATTTTGTATACATTTACCTCTCGTACGTATTCACGGTGTATAAAACCAATTTAATTATCCTTTTTATCAACACTTAAAGAATTTAATGAAAAGTTAAAACATTATTCAAGATTTCAAGAAAAGTAAATATTTAAGCTACCAAAACTTATATTAGTAACTATCACAGCAGAACATCATTTTATCAATCAGAAATGTGGAATTTTAAATAAAAATATGTGTTAAAAATCCAGTGTTCAATTAATAGTTATAGGTATAGTTAATTCTCGGTAATTAGAACATCAGAAAATCCTTTAGATATTCGAATTAAGGTATTTTATTCGATGTATTGTAATATAATAATTGATTTTAATAACTATAATTTTCGATGACTCAATTTGTTTTTTCAATCGCCCTTCGGTTTCGAATCATTGTCTCATACGATGTATTTGAACAATTCAACTAATACTTATCTGAAAATAGTACATAAAATGTTAGTATACCGAATATTAGTTGTTTGATGATTGCGTAGCATTAGTGAGTTTTTAAATTCTAGATAACATAAAATAATACCGTATAATTTAGTTTAATTCATTAAACAGTATGTTCAATGATATAATTTAATATTCAATATGTATAGACGATTATCATTATTATCACGTTAATACGAGTGTTAATTATTATAGAAATATGACGACCAGATAATGTCGTATGAATCACGAAAAATTGTTTTCAGGAGGCGATCGATCCTTTCCCCACCTTTAAATCCACCGTCGTCCGTGTCGTAAACCGTAGATACCAGTTGTACACCTCACGGACCGTACATTGCCACAACTGAAATTGTGCATTGGTGCGCAGACAAAGAGTAAAGCGAACAATTAAATGTGTACATAAATATAAACATTATATGGAATTTATATTACTATATTACAGTACATAATACGAGTTTGGCTGGGATAGCGAAAATAAAAACAAAAAACCGTAACTTCCGTTAATAAACACGTCAAACTGTGTACACGCGCCTATCTATCTACATTACATATTATACATAAAGTATATACCAGGGATGACCAAATTTTATAGACTTATGATCCACTTCTGAGTTTTTCTAAGCGTTCACGAATTGTCTTGGATTTTAGAGTTTTACACAACACGTATTTTGATATATATTTTTATCTGTTTTTACAATCGCCACAAATACTTTAATAAGAAAAATCCAATTGACATAACATGCACTATACCTAAAATAACTACTCGATCAAAGTGTATAATTGTGTTTTTAATAGTTATTTATTGCTATATACCATTTGTTAATATTGCCTATATTAATTGTTATTAATTTAATTTTTATATTCGTGGGTTCGACAAAGATATGAAATTTACAAAAAGAAAATTATAAATAATTTATTTGTTTTCTGAAAAAAATTAAAGGCGGTCGTCATCGATCTATTGGCCACCCCTGGTATATACGATACGAGAGTGCGCACATCGTTCGGATGGGGGTACTGTCCGCACGGTTCCGGAATTCCGGCCGGACCGGTGTTGTATGCAACGACGACTACCACTACTACACCCGAACACCGCTCACGTTACCCTTGTCCGGCCTACAAAGATTAGGAAAAAAAAATTGAAAAATTGAAAAAACTTCTCCAACGGCCGGCACAAGTGAATCTCGTCCAAAAACGATGTTTTGTCTGAGTTGCGTTCGTAAGATCTCAAAAACGGGTTCGAATTGAGTGCGCGGTTTTCTAACGACCGGCCCCGATGATCATTGAATATAATTACATATTGTCCATTCCACTTTTACCGACTGTCATTTATGTTAAGATACGTATATTGTTTAAAATAATTTTTAAACTTTACATTAATTTAAAATAATATAATACGGTTAATACAACCGTAGCAATACGCTCTTTGCAATAGGACAAACCCGTTTGTGAACTACTTCCTATTTTTTTAAATGGTTTCCTGTTATACAGGCTTATTGCGTACAGTCTAACAGCAATTAAGCCTTTTGTGAATTATAATTATTATATAGTAATACAAATTTTACTTATTTCATTTAAAGGATAATTTATTACCGGTATAAAAAAAAAAAAAAAAAAAAACAATGAATTATTATAACATGTAAACGATTTATCATTATAAACATGTGGGGTTAAACAGAAATGTCCTACAAACAACCGAAGTGGAATTTCTTGACGAAGTACCAAATATGATTATAATATTAAGAGAAACAGCGAAGAGACATTTTCAATTTGGAGGGAAAGGTTATTAAAATTTTTTTTGTTAAACATCGTGTAAAACAAATAGATGTGTTCGTCAGAAAAATAATGTACCGAGTAGCTCAAAATGCCATGAAAATATAAGGAGTAATAATAAGTTAAATATTTTAAATTTTTATTATTTTACATATTAACTTTTGTATTAGTAATTTAAAATAAAATTTGTAATACAATATAATAAGTCAATTCATATTTATTTTACACGTTATTATAATTATATTGCAATTTTAATAGCACAGATACAACACAGGAACGTAATATACAATTAAATTTGATTAGAATCCTAAACATCGATATAAGTCGCACAAATATTTTTGGGTTGTTTGAACTGTTCTATTAAATATTGGACATGAATTGTGAACATTTTAAGAATTTTTGAACAATACATACCTAACTTTTAGATTTATTGTCGTCATAATCCAACAATCGAGATATCTGTCAATGAGATATACAAGAACATATACATTATTGGTTATAAAATTCATAGGTTTTAAACATTTCGAGTTTTTCGTGCACTTTTTAATAATTTTACATAGAGCAATATCGTTTATTTTGTTTGACTAAAATAACGTCTTTTGTCGTGAAAAAAGTTGGACAGTCATTGTATTCATATCGTATAAAATCTTTGACGGTCGGACAGAAATATCGTCCACGGTTTTTCTTTTAAACGCGGTTAAACTAATGTTTTTGTTGTTGTCTATTAACCAATTTTTCCGACACACTTTTGATTTACTGCAATATCGTGATAGGATAATGTACTTGGATTCGAACGCGTTGTGAAGAAAACACAAGTCAATTCGATCACTAAAAAAACAGTCGGTAGGACGCGATTCAATTACACGTCCAGTCTCTTGGATCGGGACACCCTCCGTCCGGTGCGTGGAACAAGAGAGAAGAACCCAGAAATGTGCTATATAGAACCAGTCGCACGCCGCCGCCGAACCGGTAACGGGCGCGACGACTTTCGTGCAAAACATTCGGCGGAAACTCTCACCGCGTCCCACCCTCGTATCGGTTTGGCCGGCGACCGTCGCACATTGCCCACCCCACCCTACGGCCGACCGGTCCGCGAAGAAGACGACTCGCGCGCGCGGGTGACGGTAGGAGGCGGGCGGCTCTCTTCTGGCGGCTGCCGTCCGTCGTGCGGGAGGTGCGCGCAGTACCCGATCGTCAGGCTCCGTGCGTGCATCTCTCCGCCCGTAGACGGTTCGATCGCGCGACACCACGTGCGTATTGCGCCACCGATCGTGTGTTCATTCGACTTTTGCCCGGCACACGGTTGATCAGATCTCGAACGCGGTCCTGTCCGTTCGATGACCGCCGCCGTCGAGTCCGAGCGCCCGTGTCCCGGTGCCGTCGGCCCGCATTGCTGCCGTTCCGAACGCGCTCTCCGGACGCAATAGTGTTCTGTGCTGTACGACGTCGTTTTGCGCGTAAGTTTTTTTCATTCCATTTCTACACGTCGGTCAGTCGCCGTCAACCGTGACGCCCCCTCCCCCTCCCCGCGTAACCGTGGTCGCTGCACATCCTCCCGGGGTTCGCGGTTACGTATGACGACGACGATAAAACAACACGTCCGTCGTTCGTGCCCGATTGGACACGCGTTCTGATAACGGAGTTGCTCGTACGGATTGTCACGTTCAAGTGCAACGACGTGCTTAGAACTACCGCGATGCCCAGCGCCTCGGGTAACGTTTACGAATTCTCGCCGTTCCGATACTGCTATGCCGTCCTTAATCGATGATCAACGGTGAACGCATTAAGCGAACACCGTTACCGTGGTAATACTTTACTGCGTGTGCAAACGTTGTCCGTGAAGCGGTTACCGGCGTATATTTGCCATACCGACGGCACGGTCCGCTGTCCAGGTCTTGAACGGTGTCTCGGCGGTGCGCCGTTTGATAAGAAGACGGTTGTTCGCTTATCACACCACCCCCGTCGACCATGTGGGAACACTGTCCGTTCGGACCAGGAGGGTTCATTGGCCAACGCACCGAGGCGACGGCCCGACTCGAGGCTCGACCTTGTTCCGCCGCCGCCGCCGCCGCCGCACTTGCCCTTTCACATTTTCTTGCTCATTACAATATCGTGCGCGTTGTTATAACACCATAAACGTTATTGTAGACGACGTGTTAACCGCGGTAAATTGCACGCACGTATCGTATCACGCGTACGGTACTTGTATGTTATTTGCGAGAGAAAACTCTTCTACGTACATATTTATTATAGTCATTTTTTTTTCTTTCTTCCGAAAGCTGTCGCCGCTCTCACTCCGGGTTATTCCGACGGCAGTATAAAAGCACCGCGCGACTGACCAGCACGTACGAACAATTACGACGGCTTTCGATCACTGTTATTGTACACCGTATTCGTACACTGTAATACGTAGGTACCCGGCCCAATTTTTTATAACCACTTCGGACCGCTCTTGCGATCTTACCACACCGGGTGGTGAACGATTATGTTTTCGCAGTACTTAACGGTTTACCAACCAACCTTCGTTGTCCGATAACGTTTTCAACGTGTCCACAGATCAAATTTTTGTATTTGGACTCTCAATGTAATGTTTCTCCGTAAGAAATTTAGATAATTCGAGATCATGACATTTGCTTAACTTACTTCACCTGTAGTATGTCCACTTATAGTGCAGAAAGAGACCCGAAGAATGGCTGTTCAATCATATCTTAACATCATATTATGTCGAATGGCTAAAAATTAACTGTCAAAATAAGCATAATGTATCTCTCTTCCCAACAACTGTTTTGCAAGATAACCAAAAATCCTTTATTTTTATAGTTTTTTCCGTTTGAATTTGGATTATATTTCGTTATTATTTCTTTTCAATAGTTTTCGTAGATTGTGGTGCATACCATATGCTCAAATCGTAGATCATGCTTATGACTTTCATAGTGCACATTGTGTGTCATAGTTCACATAAAAATAGGCCCGACGTATACAATATTTACGAGTAGCTTTAGTTTGTGTAGGTGTATTGAACAGTTTTGTTTCAAGTGTTGAATGTGCACTCGAATTGGGGTTCCGCCGTTTTTTTTCCCGTTATTCAAATTATTATGACACACATAATATGTTTATATATTATATATATATAGGTACCCAAACTAGTGCGCTTGTGTATGTGCGTTACAACAACAATGACTACTTGATTTCATTCTTTACTTTTCATTTACGTTTACAAATTTTTGGTCCATAACGTCAATGTTTTTATTATAATAGTCCTCGAAAGAAAAATTGCGGTTCGGAAATAAATTCATTCTTATCTATGCTGAAATATAAAGTATAGAATATATTTGTAGATTTTTTTTGTTTTGTATGATGTTAATTTACATCCCTGGGATAACTTTGTTCAGGGATTATTCTAAGGATTTTTATCAACTACGCATTTTATTTAAATAAGTCTAACAAAATAGAACTATGATCCCAAAATATACTGTCAAATTATATTTAAAAATTATAAAATGTGTAGCTTCTATGTGAAGTAATTTAAAATGTAATGTATTTAAAAAATATAAATCAATTTACATTCGTGTTCAAAGTATTTTTTTTTAAATATTTTTTAATTTATTTCCTTTTTACTTTGTTTATAAATCATAATGTAATGTATAAAATAACACTAAACAACATTGAATTAAAAATCAATTATGCAAAAGTTTATTATCAAGTGCGCATTTACCTTTTCCAAATATGCAAAATAAGCCCAACTGCGCTTTAGAATAAGCCCTGACTTTGTTCTTAACTCGATGTAGTAGAAATATTAAGTTTCACTAAATTTATTTAGTATAGTAGTTTTTTAACGAAGCGAGATAGTTATATTAAATATTGTACATAAGAGTAACTTCCTTGAAAAATAATTTTTTTTTTGTAATAACAATTTATAATATTCCTTTTAACACTTTAATTCGGGTTTAATATAATTATTTTTTAGTTTTGCTTGTTTTTTTCTTTTGTATATATTGATATTCCTATTTTTTACATACATGCATATGTAATCATATCATTAATAAATGAGTAGCTATATTAATAATTGCCTATTTTGTACGATGTTTAATAGTTTAAAATAAAGTAGAATTTTATCATAAAGTTTATTTCTATTGAATTCGTGTATATAATTGGATCGTGAATTTCAGAACATCAATTTGACTTTTAACTTTTAATGTTACAATAATAGTTTTACATACTAATTATTTGGATTATTTATTTTTATAAAATTTGGTTACTACTGCAACTTGTAATATTATGGGTTATTTTGCACGGGAAACTAAATTTTGATGAAAAATGTGTTCACGATGAAATCTTATTGTATCTTCTGAATATTGAATTGCAGTGTTATTTAATATTCAATACTCACAATTATTTTTACTATGCAATTCATGATCATATAATTTTAAAGTGTGTTATAGTAGTGATATAAAATTTAAATAAAATGCTCTATTCCTATGAACTTTTAGATTTTTATTACAACAAAAAATGTGATGTACTGTATGTTTTTTTTGTGCCTGTGTATACGATTTTGACCAGAAGTAATGCTTTGATCTAAAGTTAAAGGAAATGAGTTTTTGTTGGTATTTTTAGAGAATCATTCAAAGAATTTTTCAACAATTTTCTTAATAATTACAAAAAACTGCTGGTAAGTTATAAAAATACGACAACATTTACGGCAAATCTGTTTTTGACAAAATCAAAATTTGTTAATCGTAATTTTGTTTTCTCAAAAAGTAATAATTGTAAACATGGAATTTTTATCTCACCATTTATGTTATATAATTTTGTATTATTAATAATACATTTTTATTTTTATTTTTAGATTATTAAGATTTTTTTTTCGAAAATATCGAAACAATTTTGTTTGACAAATAGACTAACCTTTTTTTTCCCGAAAATTAGATTATTTCAACCTACTTTATTAAGACATTTTTAGTTTTTTAACATGTCAACCATTTTCAGAATTAAAAACTAATTAATTTCACATCTATCACTTAAAATGCTTTTTTCGAGAGTAGTGGTGGATTGGTTTTAAGTTTAAAAGACCAATTCAATAATACCTGTATCTTGCTTGATCGTGGAGTTTCACTCGAACTACAAGTCTCACTTTTTTTTATTATTTAAAACCATAATATAAAATTGTAGACATTATAGTTTTAATTAATTCATATATGATGGTTAAGTAGAAAATAAAATGGGAATTTTAAATGTTGAATTTTATAAATATATGAATACGAACTTGAATATTACATATAAAAATAATTTTAGATAGTAACATAGTAACATATAATTGTTTTATATTTTATTCGGTATTCTTGAAATATAATCTAGGATAATCTATTTTATTCAAACAAAAAATAAATAATCAGTGCAATTGTTGACATTAAGACAACAAGATTATAAACTTATATATCTAAATGAAATATACGAGGTTATTCACTGTTATTTTTTGTTTAAATTGGTCTCAGCCGCATCTGGATCTCTAAATTTCTATAGGAAAAATTTCTAAAAATAAAAAAAATAAAGTATCTAGATATACTTATGGTTGATCATTATTTTTTAAATAAAAAATTGATAAATTTGGTATGAATTCATTAAAAAAAAAAAATGTATTAATATTGTGTGTGTCAATAGTTGTCATCTATAGATCATTATAAGCAATTCTTTATAAATTTAGTGTGTTAGTAAGGAATTATAAATATATTTATGACCTGCCCTTGAGCTAAATTTCACTTCAAAACGCCCACACTTATGTATGAATAGCGGAAAAAATCCGACTGTCTAATATATAGGTTTATGTATTTAAATATACACTATACGTATATGGTTTCCCATTGGGATCTAATCGCACTCTAAGAATCTGAATAAATTAGCCAATAAAACATATACCTAAACTAGGTAAACAAATTACGTTTCACCGGATGCGGTATTATTATTATTTTATCCTTTTCGTCGAGGAGTCGACATCTTTGCATTACAATGCGTAAATATTTCCTCCGATGACCTTAATCGCGTTATAAATTGCATGTAAATCGAATTTCGTTTTTGAAGTCGATATTTATATACCTATACATGTACTGTGCTCATACCTATACCAATATAAATGTATGTACAGGTATTTATTATATTCTTGGATGTACGTACCTATGATAATGTTAATAATACGATCGATCTGAATGATAGTAATGAAAAATCGAACATCTACTTATTGTTATTATACGTTGAATTAACGCCCCGTATGTGTGTCGTGCAGATCTAAAATCGCATTGTTATTTTGATTGTTATATTATAATCGCGTGTAAGCATCTAATGAATTATTTTGATTCTTCGTCGGTTAACGCGCGTGGGAATATGGGCCATTCTTGCGTATAATACCTAGTAGTAAATCTTAGATATTTCAAACTATATACACGTAGGCTTAACGTAATGTTTT